TCAATCATTTGTTTTATAATTGTTTAAATTTCACAATTAAAGCCCTGCAATGCATGCTGGGTATTTCTTTGTACTTTTTAGTAAACCTCAGGTATACTTCAAATAAATTACATACTAGTATACTACTAGCACTACTATAGTACAAGTATAGACTAAATGTACTTATACTTTTCTGTATACTTCTAACTGCACTTAAAGTATGCTTAAATGTAATTTGGTCTAAAAAAGGAAGAAAATACATACAAAGTAAACTAAAGGTATACTTGCTTGTTTTCTAGTTTTTAAAGTATACTTATACTTGAATATTCTTTTTTGTAAGAGTGAGACTGTTTGTTTGATACAAAGTGGGCTGTAATAATGTTTCACAATACATTTATTAATATCTGAGGTTCCATTCAGTTCAAGGAATTCAATTTTAGTGTGGCTGCAACTTACTCCTTAAGTTAAAAATGATGCTGTATATTGTAGTTTATATGTTATACTGCTCTCACAGTGAATTGCATTTTATAGTAATACACTCTGAATGAGGATTTAAGTAGTTACTCTTAGATCTACAGTAGAAAACAACAGAAATCCAGATGGTATAATAGTATAATCTCAGTAACATCACATTGTTACATTTGCTGTATTTTACAGCTGTTTCCATGAGTATGGTGAGTTACCGTAAAAATAATGTAATCTCATGGAATTTTCCCACAATTACATGCAAATTACGGTACTAAACTGCTAACATCCTTTATAGTTTTTTACTGTTGATTTTGCAGTACTAAGCTATGGAAATTACTGCAAAGGCTAACAGTGTAGACCAGGGAACATACAAACCAATTGTGTGCGAGTTAAGCCACCCACATGACACTACTTAGCCAATCAAATCTGTGCATTCAAGGCGATCGCAACGCTGCATGCAGACACAGACAGACAGATGAAAGAGACGGTGAGAGGCGAATGACAAGCGAGACGATTAACGATATAGGGAGACAAGACGTGAGTGGGAGTCACAAGAGGTAAAACAATTATGGCGCTTTCAAAAAAGAGAAAAGTAGACACCGAAAATAGAACTTTCAAGACTGAATGGACCGACGCATATATGTTCATTCTTCCGGCTGCAAGCAGCAAACCAGTGTGTCTCATATGTTCAGAAACCGTGGCACTGATTAAAACTGGCAATGTCAAATGCCACTATGAGACAAAGCACAAAGCCTTTGAACAATAATACCCACCCAAGTCTGAACTCAGGTCCCAGACAATTAGCAGTCTCAGAGCCCAATATGATCAATCCACAAGGATCTTAACCAGTTCTTTCACCGCCCAACAACGTGCTCATGAATGTTCCCTCAGAGTTGCTTGGATTTTAGGTCAACACAAAAAGCCCTTTACAGATGCAGGTGTTGCCAAAGAGTGCACGAGTGCAGTAGCGGAAACCTTACTTGAGGGTAAACAAAAAGAAGAGCTTTGTGATAAAATAAAGCAAATACCTATGTCAGCATCAACAGCCACAAAGAGAAGTGAAATATTAGCTCAGGATGTGCTGTCCCAGCTGGAAGAAGCTATACATAAGACACCATGTGTAGGCTTGGC